ATCCTTAACAGCCTCCCGTGTGGCGATGCACAATCCCAAGACGTTCGTGTCGAAGGTTTCCCTCCACTGCTCGGTGTTACCATCGGTGAGGTTGGTGTTACGTTTAATCCCGGCATTATTAATGAGTATGCTGATCGGGCCCACGTTTTTCTTGATCCATTCGAAGCTGCTTAAAATATCCTCTTCCTTACTGATGTCGGCTTTAACCGCATAAATCTTGCCAGTTTTTACAGACTTCGCAATTTCGTCGATCTTTTCCTTGCGCCTCGCCAAGCCGACCACCTGTAATCAGAAAAAGTTGCTCGTGATTGTATCTTAATTTATGCCATTTACCTTCACTCCTTTTTCGGCCAGCTCTTTTACAATCGCCGCGCCGATTCCGGCACTCGCCCCCGTTACTACGGCAACTTTTCCAACCCAACGTTCCATTGAGAGCACCATTTTTGAGGAATGTTCCTTGTGGGGTAACAACTAACAACTAGAAGTGTTCTAAAAATACGTTCGAGACGATAACAGTATGACCCTACTAATTGATAAGGTGTCGTCAACCACCAAGGCCATAGTGCATATTGTAATCTGTGTGATGCTATTCTTATTACACAAATACCAGCCACAGCTTACGATAGTAAGTGAGCTGTGTACCAGCTATAACAAAATAATAATAAAATATTAATTGTGTTCCTACTCGACGACTACAACCATTACTTTCTTGTACGTATGGTTGACGTACCATCTAGGAGGATTGACATCAGTTGACATAATATGCAAGCGAGAAAATTGGGCGCAATCAGCGGACAGCAGCGGCTAATTTTTAATATTATTTTTGAGCGGGCGGGCATTGATTATTACATAATCAATGGGGCGGGGTTTCAGCTAGGTTCGCCAACTGTTTTAAGTATGAGAACTGTCGGGTTGGCAGACTAAAAAGAGCGGGATTTTGGACAAAAAAGCGGGACGCTGAATTCCGTTTGGAGAAAACGTAAGTGAAACAAATTTTAAAAATAAACAATATATTTTCTTCCGATACAAAACAAAAAAATCTGGTAAAAATAATATAAATATGCTATTTGAAGTAAAAAAACATAAAGTAAAACTTTTTTCTATTTCTTTACTTTAACAACAACTCGAAAATTACAAAATGTGTAGGTACTTACTTATACGCATTAAAGACATAAGAAGGAACTTTATTGATGAAGGACTCCATAAATATTGCTTATTGGAACAATGAAGTGAATTGACACTCACAGTTTTTATTATTTTTTATAAAATAATAAAATAAAATAAAAAAACAAAAAAAAATAAAAATAAAAAAAATAAATAAAAAACAAAAACAATCACTCAAACATTTATGGAGTCCTTCATCGACAAAGTTTCAAACTCGGATCTCTTCGGAAAACTCTACTAGCTGAATTTTACACTTAAAATAATAAAAACTTGAGTCCCAATTCACTTCATTTTTCCACATAAGAAGGAACTTTAGGTAAGTAGTTATTTTTTTTACTTAAAGCTGTATTTGTTTTTAGTTTTAGCAGCATGTAATAAAGCTTTGTTCTTCAGGCAATAGTCAAAAAATTCTGAACATGGAAGTCTACTGTCTACTGTGAGTCTATTTCTATTTTCTGTCCAAGCATTTTCAGATAGAGAAAAAATCCTTTCCGTTGCAGCATTGGAAGGAGGCATTGATGCCAAAAATTGGAAAACAATAAAAATATCTTTCAAGCGGCGGTTGCCGGCGACGCGACGCTTTTGTTCGACGTCCCGCCAAACATTTAAGCAAGACGCGGAACACTTTGTATAAAAAGCGGGACAGTTGGCAATCCTAGTTTCAGCCAAGGCTGCTCTACCAACCCACTATAAATACCCATGCCCGAACCTGGATTCGAACCAGGGACCCTTAGTACCGTAGCCGAGGTTCAACTCAACTGCGCCACATGAGGCGGGGGTTCACACAGTAAATTCGCTGAACGGCTACGCTAAGAATCAGCTTTTTATCAGCAGCTGTGCTGGCTGTGCACTATTTAGTCAGCGGGAGTTTCTTATACGCTTACTTCTGATTTGTCGCTGTTGTCCGCTGACAGCGCCCATCGTGTCACTTACGAGCACGCACCCACACAAGCAACTTTGTGAGGTGCGTTCGTTTATGGGTTATGATCACCCATTTTGCTCTAAAGCATTCTTTTATCTTTATTGGTGGACCAGAAAAAGTATTGACATCGTAGTTTTTTTATTACAAAAAAGAGAGAAAAGGAGCTAACTCCATGACTCCATCCAAACATTCCATCTCATGAGAGTGACCACGTAGTCATTTTAATTTTAACCTAAAAATTAGGTTTTCCCGCCTTTGTGTCACGAGCGCTTACAGAGTCTTATGCCCAAGTGAACGTTCACTTGGCCATAAAGCATGCGTCATTTACTTAGGTGCCCCTTCCCCTTAAAAAAAGTTCAAATGTTAATCATTGAGTGAACGATTCCTTCCCCGAGTTCCTTCTCTAAGGCCACAACTGTCTATAGTACATGTCACCTTGAATTTACAGTACAGGGTTTTTATGGTTGAGGATCACATTTTTGAGAGCTGACAACCACTCAATTATTAGGAGGGGTAAGTTGCATCTTTTTTTTAATGGCGATCACGAAAGCATCGTTCCGTAAATGTTTGTTGTTTTTATGTGTTATTTAATGGAGGTAGGTAGTAATCTTTGAATTTATTTATAATGTATTTGTGTTTTGCCGTTGTATGCAAAATTTCATATTTTTTGTGAGTTTTAATCCTTGATTTTGAGGACGACTTGATTTAACCTCAATGCAAATTCATGTGTTTGATACCGTTAACCTTTTGTTACATGTATTTTTGATTATTCTTTGTGTGTATGTGTACTGACTTGTTGTTTCTAAACTAACATTTTCGCCATGAAGAGACGGATCACAAAAGTGATAAGAATTGTAACCGAATTAGTTACGGCACTCAATGCTGGGACTGCCCTCGATTCTCAACTATAGACTTGGAAAACCCGAACGAGGGTCCATAATTTACTACCTATCTCGAGGACGAGATTCTGGTAATAAAAAAACTCTTCGGCTTAGAAACTATGTGTGATATATGAGTTGCAATTCACTGATTACCACATATTTTATCGTAAATTTGAATTTGTCTTACAAAGCCGCATGTACTTTTCCATCTTCCACTCAGAAGGATTTTATTGAATCTGAGATGGGTCAGATCCTTGTGTTTAACTTTGACTGTGACCAATTTGGATTTATTAATCAAATGTCAAGATTGTTGAATATTTGCACTTGACTTGAATATGTAGTATACCTCCTCGTTTTGAAATCACATGTGCGTTGCAGGTAAAAGTGCAGGTATATTTTTGTTTTTATGTTCTTAGAAAGTCCTTAGAAAAGAGCCACCTTGCTGATACCCAAACCCAATTGCTAATCGATTCTTGTAACCCTTGACATGTGATAACTGAATATTGGCTTTGTGTCAAACTTTTCCAAAGTCGGTTTTTTCACCTCGCTCGAAGCTTTTATGCTATTCTTTATATTGTCGTTATAATTATATGTTATGCGTTATTACAAACTACACAATTGAATATTAATTTGTCGACTGGTTTTTTTTTCTTGGCAGGCCTTTTTTTCCTCAGTCTATTCCTGTTTTTACTCTGTGAACTACCATTTTCATAGTTTATTCTTGCAATGTAATTTATTTCGATCTTTCACAATCTGAATAATAATAACGGTCATTATTAAACAAATAATTCACAATTTCATTGTTTTATAATATTTTACGATTTTTCATTACCGTACTTCAGGTCAAACCGTTGTGCTTTCAACCGGGGGTTGGAACCGGTACCGCAACCGATTGCATTTATAGACCCTTCACTTGGACCCAGAACCGTTATTTAAGAAGTTATGATAACCGGAACCGACACCGGTACCGGTAAAGGACAAAGGACCGGTATTTTTAGGTAGAGTAGACACGTTCCGCTTATTAATTCAATTTGCTAATATATGTAGCAAACGAAAAGCATCTAGAGAATTCTAGAGTCAGCATTAGATAGCCTGGGTTCAATTCCCCGCAGATGCAGATTTTTTAAATTTTATATTCGCGATTCAGATTAACCCTAGAGCCGCTGATGTAATTTGCAAATGGCGTGTATTGTTGTGAGCGGTTTGTAAACATTGACAGTGAATTGAATTCATCATGTCGTTTTTGAGACGTGAAAATATAACCCCTTTATCCTATCCTAACTGAAAAGAGGTTTTCGTAAGAACCCGAGGCGGTCTTGAATTACGCAATTATTAACTTAATTTTCTAATTACAAATAAAGATCACCAATTTATAATTCAATTTCTAACGCACTAACAACTCGCCGACATTCCCTTACATGGATTATGCTCTAAAGTTACCGAGAGATAGCGGAAGCTACCAACATACTACAGCATGAGTACAGCGTGTTGTCATTAAAGGTAGCCACAGACGTACAGTTTTTCGTCAAGACAAAGCTGTTCAATCGAGATCTTCAGCATGTCCTTTAAATAAGGGTGCACCACACACGGACTGATATTAGGCATACGTCAATTCCTGACTCGTATACAGGCTATTCCTAAATATGATGTGACAGTTATATAAACGAATAGGTCTGCAAACGATTCGTTACCGATTTACAGGGTGCAGTTTTTGAGATATTTCGTTAAATTTTGAAATTACGCTGAAAGGCTTACATCACTGGTCATATTAATAATAATGAGAATCTACAGGGTGTTTTTTTAGGAGTCTAGTACAGTCAATCGGCAGCCTCAAGGTTTACAGCAGATACGGTGAAGAAAATCTCAGGGATTGGACTGCGCAATCAAAACCTTGAGGGAAACTTTACCTCTGTGGTTACTTTTATGCACAAGGCATATTGCGCGTGTCACGTGACAGTTGTGAGTTGCAGAAAATGTCATAAGAAACATTGTAATAGCACAATTATATTGTATCCCAACGTCTGAGAGTAGCGACAGCTATGTAGTTACTAGAAACGCTTTCATGGGTCAACCTATAAAGTGAATAACTTTAATTCAGCGCAAAGTACAACGATCATTGATATCCGTTATCAAATATGTGTTTGTTCTAATCTCTGATATATAATCTCCTCCAACGTGCACATGGTCCCGTATATCAGTTTAACAACATGAACAGATGGGAAGGTAAGGTGGCTATCGTGACCGGCACCACTTCGGGGATCGGATCCGTAATTGCCGAACGATTGGTGGATGTTGGGTTGACAGTAGGTACTCTCTTACGGCAAACAATGACTTCATTAGGATTTTCAGGTTGTAGGACTGGCCAGGCGTAAAGAACTAGGAGAGGAATTGGCTCGGACTCTCGAAGGAAGAAAGGGAAGGTACTACCATTTAACAGCCGACGTTGCCAAGGAGGAGGATGTACTAAACGCTTATAAATGGATTGGGGAGAATTTGGGTCCCGTCCATGTTCTGGTGAATAATGCGGGAGTGTTGAGGCCTACAAGTCTGTGTGACGGAAACACGACCGATTGGAAGAGTATGCTCGATCTCAACGTTGTGGGACTATGCATGATGACCAGGGAAGCAGTGAGATGTATGAAGGCTAACAAAGTCGATGGTCACATAGTGCATATCAACAGTACCAGCGGTCACACGGTTCCAGTACCGGTAGCAGCCCACGTTTACGCAGCCAGCAAGTTTGGTGTAACTGCCCTAACAGAGGCTTTAAGGCAGGAACTGGTGGCAGGTGGAAGCCGGATAAAAATTTCGGTAGGGTTTTCGAATAGTTTCCACAGAAAAATCGCCATTTTTTCAGTAGAGCGTTAGCCCTGGGCTTACCGAATCGGAGGGAAATCCGCTGCCTCGCGAAGTACTGGCAAACATACCGATGTTGAAGGGGAAGGATGTTGCAGATGCGATTTCTTACATCATTTCGACACCGCCACACGTCCAGGTATTTAACCGATTTTAAGTACTTTTAAGCGTAAAAGTCGTTTGAATTTTAGGTTCATGATATCGTGTTGAGGGCCATTTTTTAACGGTCGCCGCCAAGATTTTTAGATAGAAATTAAAGTTAACTGCAATGCAGAAGATGTAGTTTTATTGGTTCAAAAGGTCCAACCTAGTTGCATCTCTTTTCAATTGTTGTGGTCTGTAAGTGCCTGTTGGTAGGTAGGGTATTTCTTATGGTAATAATTCCATGGCTGATTATGATTGAAACCAAATTCGTTTGTTTATTGTCTCTCATAGTCACCATCGACACGGCCATGGAATTATTTCCATAAGAAATACATTGTTAACTTCAAAGCAAAAATACAAGGTTTATTCCCAAACACTAAATGTTTGGTATCGCTGGTTTTGAAATTGTTCTCTATCGAGTGACGGAAAAATCCAGTATAGCGCCCATTTAAAATAAGAAAGTTGATGGTGAAAATCGCCATTTTGAAAAATTTTTTCTTACACTTGTTGAATTTATCCCGTTGAATTTTGCAACTTTTATTTGAAACTTTTTTCAATAGCTCTCTTTGTTACTAAAATAACTGAACTTTTTAAAAATGTCGATTTTCACTTTTTTCTAATTATCTACGAAACGATTAATTTTTTCGAAATATGCCATCGGAATATCCATAAGCATAAAAAACTACACAACTTTGCCGATTTAACCGAATCTTTAAGTATAGATAATAATAACAAAGATAGCCATGTTATCCTACTCAATTGAAGACACTCTGTATGTCATTTCCAAGAAACACTCTAATTTTGTTATGACCGATTTCGACCAAACTTTAAGGGTTGGTGTAACTCATACATACTCGTATCTCGGTCAAGCTCGTAAATCGGCCAATTCCGCCATATTGGATCAAAATGGCGCACATTTAAAAAATATACCTTCACCTGATCGGCCGAGCCGAAAGGGATTTTTAAATTCTTCAATTATATTGTTGGTTCATCGACATCCCCAGAATCTATTTATTTATTTCCTAATCCTTCAGCTTTTAAATCATTTTGTTGCTTAGAGATCTATCAATGTTTTAGTTTTTTAAAAATTTTCAAATTCTTTGGATTGTACAGTTTTCTAAGCTCATTCAGTTTCGTTAAATTCAGATTATTCATATATGGTGGGTTTATCATTAGTTCACTATGATTAGGTCATTAAAAAATATCCAATAGAAACAAAGGTTTATTGAGCATTGCTAATAGCAGAATGCTCGACACTGAGGAAAATTCCCATCTCTGCCACATACGAAAAATTCTTACCTCAGCCCAGGTTCGAACACCCGACCTCCGGCTATGTAGCCGAACACTCTTATATTACTGAGCTACATAGATAATAGTTTTATACATTTATGTATGTATTATATAATATATTATTAAAGATCCTTGAGGTCGTTTATAATTTTGTATTGCTGTTCGTCTGCCGAATCAAAAAATTTGTTTTGCGCATGCGCAGTCGGTGGTATTGTAAAAATGATGTATGCGTGAAGATCTCGAGGATCGTTCGGTATTCAGTTGTATCGGATTTTCATCATGACGTTTGTATAAAATATAATTTCCAAAAAATTGTAGGAAAGATGTACCTAAATAAAATATTTTGGCGCTAAAGCGAGATCTACTACGGCTCTAGAAGAATCCATACAGTCGACTGGAGGCGAGAGGCGAAAAAATACACCGTCGATTACGTACGCCCGCGAAGGTTTCTGATCTAATAAACCTGCGCGAGATCGGCCAAAACCTGGAGTGGGACATTATTTTTATTTTGCATTTATTTTTGAGTGGGCGGGATTTCAGTCAAGGCTGCCCAACCCACTATACATTTACAAATATCCATGCCCGAACCCGGATTCGAACCAGAGACCCTTAGCACCACAGTCCAGCTTTAATTGAACTGCGCCACACGGGCCGGCACTGGTGATAGGAGGTACGAAATTCGCCGGGTTTACTAGTATGGTCTAAAAGCGGGTTACTATATCCTCCGTTGTTTTTCCGAAGACTTTAGAAACTTTAGAAATCATTTCCGGTTGACGAATAAAGCTATCGAGATTACTCATTGTCCGGAATAACATTTCCAGTATACCACCGTGCCCATCTAAGACCCCTTGGATCATAATAATTTTGCCATGAAAGATACCGAAAAAAGTCTTAGAGAAAAATTGTACACAATATATGTATTTCTGTGTTTCTAAAATATTTAATATAAATATAAATATTTTTTATCGCCAGGGGCGTACTGTATTCCAGTGGTGTATCAAACTTGAGTTTTTTTAATAGAACACCCCCTATTTTTATGCATTTCGACTGATACAAACAAAACCCTAAGAAAATTTCGGAAAAAAAAGCAAACTAACGTATACCTTCTTCATGATTCCTTCGACTACCACACTGTATTTTGTTCCGCTTTTATACCGCTTCCGAAAGCCCGTACCATACCGATTGAATTACCTACCAGATCAAATCAGCAAAGGACGCTGCGGGGTTCCGTCACATTTAAAGCCTGCGATCCCGGCATTGCATTCCCTACTTTGCACTTTTCTCCTTTTCATTTATTTTATTTGTTTATGGTGCACAAAACACCCGTCCCGCTAGCTGAAACGTGGAATTATTTTCATTTCTCCTCCTACATCTCCAGCATTCGCTACAAAGCCAAGTCCTAATATTAACCTGAATTGATAATTTGAAATACTTCCGTAAATCCCAAAGAATTAATTAGAAAGAAACTTTGGCCCATATGAATAAAAGGAAGCAAATGCTTATACTTGCAAAATTCAAAGTAAATACTCGTAATTGCTCCTTCACACTGGGCGATTTAGCAGCGCTTCTGAGCAGCAGGACAGGACGCAGTGCAGCGCTGCTAAACCATGCTAAACAGACCAGTATGAAGGGGCAGTTACGAGTATTTACTTTGAATTTTGTAAGTATAAGCATTTGCTTCCTTTTATTCATACGGCCCTTTGATTTACACTGTGAACAAATCGAAAAATATGAACATGAAAACTCTATCTGGGCCGTACAATGGATTCAAATAAACACGCCATGACAAAAAAAATTATTCCAAAACACTTACGCAGAAAATCATCAAGAAAAAAATTGAAATAAGGAGGGGCACAAGCCCGTATTTACATTTACCCCACACGCAAGTGTTCGATTACAACTAAATAAAAAAAAACTTAAAATTACTTACAGTTTTTTTAATAATCTATAATCTGGTCAAAATGCGATCTGTATGCACTAACAAAAACACTCGTTGACAGCTTCAGGAAACTTCATTTCTTTGCTATTACACTGAATTCAATCACCCGATCTGTTGTGTTGAATCTCTTTCTTATGGTTATACAGACGCATAACACTTTAAACTTTTGTGGTGAACAGCTCCGTCTTTTCCTTATTTTTCCTATTTAAAAAAAACGCCACTTCCACTATACCATCATACCCCTACTTCCGCCAATTTCAAATGTAACACCAATACAGAACGCTTGCTATGTCCCCTCTTCCATAACAAAATTACCTTCAAAAGAAATCGTACCACATCCTTTGTTATAGGTGCCAAACACACATGCGTCCATTAATTTTCGTAATAACAACGTCCTTATCGTACACAAACTGGTAGCTATTAAATGCACCAATTTACACATTTACAATTTAAATAAAAAATTTACATTTTAATTGTGCAATTAAAAACAATTGTAAAATAGACAATAAAGTAACAAATTCCAATGAAATAAACCAATTCTGTGCTTATTCGTAATGAAATCCTGCATATTTAAATTATATTAAAGCATTCGCATATACAGGGTGACCCGGTATTATCTTCGGTATTATATCACGGCCACCTGACGTTGTTTTCACAGTAGATTGCTTAGGGTTTTCAATCTACCGATTTTTATTTTCAAATAAAACTTTACCTACATTCACAGTATATATACTTTATACTAGCACACAAGGTGTTACATTTGAGTTGTTCCAAAACAATAATGTTACTTAAATAAACAGGGAATCGCATGTGTCGTTTGGAAGCTACCCTTAAAAAGTTCTTAAAATTGAATCCTTTTCGAGAACCATACAGTGCACCGTGTTTTTGAATAGGGTACCTATATTGGGTATGCACTTTTCGATTTTCGAGACCGCATAACAAAATGAACGATGCCTATTATTAGTTAGGTTTTTCTATCGGCACATACTTAAAAACGTTATTCGCGTACTGTACAAGAAATTGACTTAGAATTTCTTCAAATTCAGGCTGAGTTTCGTAAAAGAACACGTGCCAATTTTCGTTTAGAGCCCTATTGAACACGTCGGTCAGTTCTTTTTGGCCTTGAAAGATGTCTTGCATATCGTACGTGACCAGAGCTGGATCTAATTTTGCTGTGAACGTATTGATCCTGAAACGCTGCTCTCCATTTTTTTCGACAACGTCTCCATCTAGTTCTAGATCAAACGTAACGTTCTCTGTCAAAAACTCGTGGTTAGCATTGCGATTCATTTTGGGCACTTACTGAATCTGATAACAGCCTTGTCTCCACCGTTTAAAGTGAATACTAGCAAGCTTCCCTTAATATTGTAGTCCATAGTCGTGAGTATTTCTTCTGCACTCGCCAACATCGTCATGTGTATCCGACTCGATGTTATAGTTGCGCTAAAACACGGCCATTATGTAACAAAGTGCTATGAAGGGTTTCAGTACTTGACATGGTGCACAAGTGAGTCAGTGATATTGTAAACGTGAATGTCGAAAAAGTGGATGTGGAGGCCCCCCTTCTCCACGGCAGCACTTGAAATTTGCAAAGGGTCCAGAGGCGGCGCGTCAATTTCAGGAAGCCCTAGAACGAAGATTTAGTAAATCGAAACGGTTTGCACACGAACCGTTCTTCATCTGATGCACTGCACTCGTAACGGCGTCGGTTAGGCATTCGTTGAGATTGGGACCAAAGTGATCGCATAACTTAAAATTGGATGCTAAAATATTATTAATTGAGTGGTGAGTTAGGGACAAGGTAGGTACTCACGTAACTTTTTACATGAGGTCAGAAAAATTAAAATGGAAAGTACCACTACGCGGATCTTCATCGTAAAACAGGTTTGCGTGGGGTACGATTCTATGGTGGAATAATTTCAATCTCCATTTCTATGTAGAGGAAGGCTATGGGTATTTTTATTCATTATGTTGTTGTTAACATTGTTGATCTTGAAAATTCAAAATCATGGGAAAATTTTGATAAATATAACATCTAACACATCACACAAAGGATCAAAGATTGTAAATTTTAAAAAATTTATTTCAAAAATCACTAGTAGGTACTACGTTTTAATTTTTAGAAAACCCTTATCAAGGGTGTCCTGGTGCACAAAGCACATGATCGTGTGACTTTAAACAGAAATATTTTTTTCCAATGCCGACACGTTTTTATTGAATTTAATCCCTAATTTTTGTGCATTAATAGGTAATTTTAATCCCTAGGGATTAAAAAAATTTTAATCCCTCATTTTTGATTTCTTGTAAAACGTTCAGAAAGTACCTATTCATTTTCTTTATTTTCAGAACAGGTAATATGAAAAGTACAATTTATAAAGGGCCTTGGTGTACATCCAGCTCTTCCTATATAATGCCAAATAACTGAGTTCTTCTCCGCCTCAACAATGGTAAAAACTCTTGACTTTTAGTTTTTGTACCTGGAATTCTAACTACCAACATCGATTCTCCATCTTCTATGTAGTCTACGTTCATTTTTAACAATTCCTCTGATCTGCAAGCTGCAACTTCCCCCAATATCCATAATTGTCACAACCATAAACTTTGGGAGCATGAGCATGCAATGTTTTACACAAACTAACCTTTATCAGCAAGTGACATCTTAGGGGATGACAGAAGCGCCTTCATATGCTTCGTCACTTTCGTCTTCAATGTTTTTAGAAGAGTTTACAGGCATTATTATCCAGAACTAACCGTGCTTCAGTTTGTCACAATTTATTAGTTGAAATTTGATTTATTTACTAGAATAGTTGGCAATGTTTCGCGGTGTGGAAACGTGCCCTTTATTACTTAAGGTTTTGACAGCCAACAAAAGCACGAACTAATTGTCTTTGTACTTTTCACCGGTTGTCGGTTAATGTAGATCTAATAACACCCCGTATATACAATAGAAGTGCACAGTTTTAATTGATGAACTTGTTTTTTAAACGTAACTAGCCACTTAAAATATTGCGCAATGAAATGCTTTGTACCTTAGAACTCAACGCTTTCGTGGTAAAAATTTAGTTTAATGAGAGCACGCTAATCCGATAACACTACGAGAGTTCGTTTCCGGTTGAAAAGTGTACACAAGTCATATGATTTGCCTTCGTTTTACGCGATCTCTAGGGCCGGCTTTACAATTACACTTTTACGGAGAATAAGATATTCCTGGAATAACTGCCATAGCAACATGTATGCCATTGGTTGACACAATGGTAACCAACGCAACCGTCGACATTTATTATAGGTATAGCTTATTCTCGGTATATACCTTCATTGTAGAATTGGTAGAATTACTCTGATCCATTAGATCTGTCACATTCGTGGGATTCTACAGATTCTTTTAATTTTTCCAAATCCATTCAACATTTTATTTTTGTCAGTCTTCCGGTTCTTCTAATTGTTCCGACTCTTCAAATTGTTCAAAACGCTTTAATCCAAATCATTTTTTGGATTCCTAAGTTTCTTTAATTCTCCAGATTCGTGTAAAAATTGTTTGGGTCAGGGAAACGGAGAAAACCATAAAATGGAAGAATCTTTACAATCGGATAAATCTAGAGAAGCTAAAAAGTCTAAGCAATCTCAGGTATCTCAAGTATTTGACAAAACAGACAGATACAAAGAGTTTGATGTCCCTACTTGAGGAATTTGACGAAACAAAAGAATCAAATGAACTTTAAAGATCTAATGGGAAGAACTTCGTCATGTACGGTGTACTTAACCCCTTGCTTCTACTCTATAATTCGTATATAGGCTAACCAAAGAGATTTTGTTAGCAGAGTCCCACCCTTGGGACTTGTCCCTCGTGCAGGATATTCAAGTCTCTCAGAGATTCCGGATCAATCACAGACTTAGATGTCGTTTGTTTGGCTACAGTATTTTCCATCCTTGTAACTGTCTCTTCAAGGCGAAAAGTGTTAGTTTACAAGCAACAAGTCAGTACACACAATCTGAAATTCGATAATTTACACGAATTTAGACGAAGGGCCAAAAACATAAATTAAATATTCGGACTGTAATGTTCCTAGGGGGGTCTATCAAGCCGACACGGAAAACGTTGACTTACCCTATACTTACGGTTGGCAACTCTGGCAAAAACTACAAGCAGAGCCACCTACCTTTCAAGTCGAAACGATGGTAGTCTCGCGGCACTTTTGAATTTGGATGACAGTCGGCTCGATATGGGTGGCACGAATGGACTCCTACGTTGTGTAGTCGGTTCTTTTATGTGTTGGGACGTGAGACATAATCGGGAAGGGAATTAAATAAAAGACAGAACTTTTGTGCGTAAGAAATGACAAGATCAAATAAATATATTAACGCACACACAAGACCATGCCAGGGAAACCTTCTACGGGACTAAAACCCTGGCACAGGCCACACAAATACATAAAATAAATCACCTACAGCAATAAAATGCAAGAGAAAATACACATAAATAAAGCATCGCAAATTGTATGATAAAAATCAGATAATCAAATCAAGTGCAATTAAACAAGTTCATAAAATCAAAATACACAAGACATCATAAATGCAGTGGAAAACATGATAAATCAATCCAGTACAAAAACACATCAAAATAACTGTACGATCAATAGAAATAACACAACTCGTCAAATAAACAAATTGCATGTACATAGGAAACATGTAAATGGTGTGGCTCTTCTCCATCCTTCAGTTAACATAATTTAATTTAACACGAAAAGTACATGTGAGAATGCCATTGGCCCATAGCAAGTATTCATGTGAAAATCGATTATCGCTCAAACAAAACATATTTTAAATAGAGGAAATGTAAATGAGAGGATCCCCCTTTCTCGCTAATGCGAGACGCTAAGAACTGCAGCCTGCGCGAGACGAGTAAGCAACAGATACAGCGAACGATCTAACTGCATTAGGTACCTACTCCACGGAGACAGAAATACCCACTCGCACACACAAACATCAAAACATCAAATAAAAGAGCCCCCCCCCCTTCGTATAGCTAACGCACAAGAACTGTAGCGAGCCACGAAACAGAAAGTAACAGATACAGCGAACAATCTAACTGTATTAGGTGCTTCCCTCACGGAATTGTTACGGGTCAATCGAACAGAGCAACATCACACCGATAATCAACTCCTCATGAATAACAGAAGTAAATTACTTAATTAAACAAAATAATGGCATAATCATCTGTACAATATGACACAAACATGATTCATCTAACGGTACACGAAACAAAGGCATGGAGTACGCCATGATTCAGATATCGTAGTTTATGCAAAATCAGCAAAATGTAAATATCACATTGTGGCAAGAAATTCAATGATTAAATATGTAGTACAAGAAAGAATAAAATGGTTACTACCTGTAAATACATCTTCAAAACACCACCACCAAAAATAATCAAGAATAATCAAAAAAAAACCGGGAAAGCGTGTGCCTTCCGTCGGCCTCGTCGCCATCTTCTCTCCATTCTCTCCTAGCTTCGTTACCAAAATCCCCTAGTATTCGGCATCTGCGCAAAACGGTCGTTGGTTATATACAGAGCATATTCTATTTTTGTTTCAGATGTAAATGTGTGTTGCCTAACCATCAGGGTGGATTATCACAGGACCCAAACCATAAATTGGGCAAACAGTAGAAGTTAACGGCGTTTTTCATACACGCGATCCAGTATTGAGGTTAAAGCATGTCAATTTCAAAAGCAAGGATTGAAAATAATAGAAAACATAAATCTTTGTATACAAAACACAAACAAATTATACAGAAATGCAAACCTACATTAAATAACCCCAAAAAAAAACTACACGATGGTCTCTCGACGACATCTTAAACAAAGATGGCCGCAACGTAAGAAGTTTTCGTTATTTCGAGACGACCGGCGCAGGTAACTTTCCCCTTCTAAAAGTCGCGCAGGTTGCCAGATCTCAAAAATTATATACAGGGTATATATACAGGGTGGAGCATTTCAACTAACAATATGGTAATCATTCCGTTTTTATGTGCTATTCGGCACATTAAGACTTGATTTCCTTTTCAAAATGTCATCATGAAGAAAATGGAGAAGAAATGTTCGAGTATTTCTTTGTTGAGGGTGCTGCTGTGTGGCTGTGGTATACCATACCCGGTACTTCGTTCCTGTCGTACTTCTCAGTAGAAGATTTGGCAATCTCCCCAAAAACTATTATGAGCTTTAAGAGAAGAACGCTTTATGGTGGGGAGTGCAGCATTACCTTTTTACAAAGGTTACCATGAGGGTGCTAAGGGAGATAGAGAAGAAATTATCGAGTCCTTCTTTGTTGAGGGTACTGCTGTGTAGGTGGAGGGTAGATATTCCATATTCCCCAGGCCCCTCGGTACTGCGTTCGTTGTCGTACTTCTTAGTAGAAGAGGATGTGGTAATCTTCTGAGGGATGCGCGCTTTATGGTGGAGAGCGTAGCACCGCAGGGTAAAAATAACGGAATATGAACATGGAAGTTTGGACAACCCCAAAAATCCTAAGATATGCTCCACCCTCTTGGGGAAATAGCCTGCAATACTCGCTTTTCACTTCATCTCCCATGATGACAGTTAATAATCTGAATAGTGTCATCAAAAAATCAATAACGTTACGTACGGACTTGCCCTTTACAATTAGTTGTTCATAGAAAGATGGTCTTATCCATGGACCGGTGGATTGGAAAGGTTGCCGTTGTAACGGGGGCGAGTGCCGGAATTGGCGCGGCGATTGTCAAGGCACTTGCCGAAAAGGGAGTCAAAGTATGACGTTTCTGACAATCGAGCACTTTATATTAATCATTAGGTCGTCGGTTTGGCTCGGCGTAAGGAGAAAATCGACGAGCTCACCAAGAGCTTAGGCGAAAAAGGCTGCAACGTTTACGCGATGAAGGCAGATGTAAGTAAGGAGGAGGATATTTTGAGCAGTTTCGAGTGTATTAAGAAAAAAATCGGTCCCATAAGCATACTCATCAATAACGCCGGTTTCAAAAGGAATACGAATCTGACCGATGGTAACACGAAGCTCTGGAGAGAAACCTTCGACACAAACGTCATGGGGTTGTGCATCGCTACGAGGGAGGCAATTAAGAATATGAGGGAATGCAAAATTGACGGCCATATTGTTCATCTGAACAGCATTGCTGGGCACCAAATTCCAACCGTGGTCGTGACGAACGTCTACCCCGCTTCAAAGTTTGCTGTTACGGCGCTCACCGAGACCCTTAGATTGGAATTGAACGCCATTGGAAGCAAAATAAAAGTTTCTGTGAGTACTTTCGGCGGCTTTCCCTTGGCACAATAACATGTTTCAGAGCGTAAGCCCATCGACTGTCCTAACAGAGTTTAGAAAAGCATCCAATTTGGTCGAAGATGAGAAAGTGTTGAGCAAAATGCCGTACTTGGACTCTACGGATATAGCCGACGCAGTTATGTACATTCTGCCCACCCCTCCTCATGTGCAGGTTCACGATATTATAATTCATCCCCTATTTAAATAAACGTTGTACATCGTCTACGTTCGAAACACGGTATTTCACTGAATAACTTTCGCGAAAGTAATTCGAGATCGTGATTATGCACAGAAATAAAATGCCAATTTCCGCTGTATACTTACAACATTTTATTTATCGCACAAGGCGCTGTACAATGAGTTATGCCACTTTCGTTTTATAAAATTATAGCATGCAGGTAACTCACACTTTGTCACCTATCTCATTTCAATTACCGCTTCTTAACGACGCGAGGCTTCTTACTAGAATTTTCACATAAAATAACGCAGGTAAAATCTTAGGTAAATTAACAGTATTTCCCGACATACTTATGTTCACGTTCGCTATGAAGCGGTATATGTGTATATTTTCCTATGTTGAACAAAATTAATTTTGAAAATAACACCGCTAAGCGACCACCTGTTATATGGGTCGCTTGAAACTAAAGAAATGAAAATTTCTGTGCGCCCACAGAAGACGCCTCTTGGAGGTGGTAAGCGTTCAGTAAAAAATAATTTTCATTCCAAAATACGTAGTATCAAAACATACAGAAGTTGAATCTTTGTATTAATGTATACAGGGTTGCTAATGGATCCCATTAAACATAATTAGTCGAAGAAGTTTTGTCAGAAGAGACAATAACTGATTAGAAAAAATTATTTTTATTTTTAAAAAAGTGAGGAGGGAGATTGGTTCAAAGAATAGAGCGTAAAATAGAGAAGCGTAGAAGAGTCATGACGTAGACATGAAGCAGACGCGCAATGACAAAAGCGTAAAGAAAGGGTTTAAGGAAAGTGTGGAAGAGGTATGAGGGATTCGCAAAAAAACGCGAAAGGGGTGTAAGAATCGTTTCCGCAATTAATTAATTTTGTAAACAGATATTGTCGTAGGTGCGCGAGTGTCGCGTACTTTAACAAGAAAATAAAGAAGTGGAAAATAGAGGGAAATATGTAAAATGGAAGAGGAAGAGGTGTAACGTGGCCTGTCGCCTTTGGCATTTCGCTCTTTCGCCGTTGCCGCTTTGTTTTGGACGTTTTGTCTGAAGTGCCATGAAGTCAATTAGTTTCCGGATATTGAAGAAAGTTAATTAGTGAATTTTAAGTACCTATCTACGTCCTGTAGAATTGAATAATCGAGTCCGAGTTGAGAAGTTTTTTGGCACTTATTCGGGAAAAAGTATGTTACCTAATAACGAAGTGAAGTTTCAGTTTAGTGTTTGTGTTTTTTGTACACATTTGGCCTGGGAATTGCAGTAAAAGACTGAATTTTTGTATGGTAATTAAGACTTTATTTAACTTGTTTGGATCGAGCGCTCATCGCGTGGTATTTGTTTCTGGCCCTGATGACTGCCAATTATTCTTACAGCGATCTCCCTATATACAATTCTTCTGACGTGTGTTTGTGATTGAACTCTTAAACGGCTGAATGGATTTGGATGAAATTATTAGTACGTGCCTCTGTGTGTCTCCGGATTGTTTAAATTCATAACTGGGTCCGATGGGATTAAAGGATTTTCTTAACTTCTTTTTTCATTCATGTCGCACTCTGCTATCATATATCTTTCAATATCGAGCGTACGCAGTCGCGTGGAAAATGTGGTTTTTGAATAAATTTGTGTGTTTGTTAAAAAGTTTTGTATTTGGATAAACCCAAGTTACGTTAATTGTTTTTTGTGAGCGCCTCTATTTAATTGAGCTAGTTAAACAGGTGTCTTTGGGTGGCAATATAAAAGCTCTACAGAAAACGATGTGATAGTCGAAGGTATGAAAAGGACAAATTTTAATGTTAAAGAATCGATAGGTACTATACGGAGTGGCGAAGTAGTAACCTGAAATAGAAAAGTGCGTGAAAAGCAAATGAGGGCGAAATCGACACAAATTTGAGACATTTTGTAAGCGTTTATTTGTGGATGCACATTAAGTGCTTTATAAATAATATGTATTACAGTATTACTGTAGGTGTGTACTTACCTTTAGTTAGAGATAAATAAATAATCTAAACAAATACAGAAAACGAGCTCCTGGGTATGGCTATAGCATGTGCAAAACCAAATTTTAAACCTGATGCTAGTTTTGCTTTTATTTAAAGTGTATATGTATGAAATTTCATTTAAATCCCTTCATAAATAAGAACGTTGGCACTGCGCATGCGCAAAACATAATTTTGAAACTGGCTTTAAATTTGCTTTTATGCCAAGTGGCTATGTATCAAATTTCACTTAAATACCATCATAAATAAAAAAGTTTGCAATTCGGTTTATAAATGGTCGAATGCGAAAAGGGCACTGTGAATGTTGATTGATTAGGCTCAATTTTTGGAATTGCGTTTTATATGGCGAAAGCTATACGCATATTGAATTTCATGCAATTCGGTTCATAATTCACGGAGATGTCAAAAGGGCCTTCCTTATTTTTTGGGCTACATTGCCAATTCACGAACTCCGATCTAGAAATTTGATAAAGAATCCACATGCAAAATTTTATCGTAATCGGTACATTCGATATCGAGATATCGTGCTAACGGACGGACAGACGGACAGACAGACAGACAGACGGGCAGACACTGCAAAATTATAAATTCGCTAGGAGCTCGTTAATAAATTGACAAGTTCGTCTGACAAGTGACACAAGTGTATTGAGGTTCGTTAACGATAAACACCTTATCACCGCCAACTATGACGCTCAATTTGTTTAACCGCACTTTATTAGCATAGTCTGTAGAGGAAGGAGGAGAGGGAAGGTTATATAACATTAAAATTTCGTCCCAAGCGAAGGCACTTAGTTCCCTACCTAATTTGGGGGAATAATTCTTATTCGCTTGCTCAGTGAGTTCTGAAATCGCTTTAGGGCATCCATATCCAGGAGGCCTGCGGTTTACCTCTTCTATTTTGTGTTCTAAAACTCTAAAATTATGCTATCTTTCAACAAATTCATCAGTAATTACTAATTTATAAAAGCTTATGGCAATACAAGAACAAACTCAATAAATATTTTGCGCCCCGACATAAAACAAACAAAAATCACCGACCCATCGCACAAGCTGATAACAAAAATCATAATTGAATTAAAAAGTCACCTTCCTGCGAATTGTTAAAATATACTCATCACACAAGCTGATCACAAAAATAATAATTGAATTAAAAAGTGTGAAAAGTTACATAGCTGCTCTAACTACGTGCACAAACTCTCCCAGATACCTTAAATTATGTAAACACCCTGTATATTAATCTCGAACGCAAGCCACCCACGCCTATTGAACATTCCACTTTAAACTATCTGAATATGCCCTACATTGATTGTACTGATCTTCAACCTTCCGCTAACACATGATAAGTCTAAGCCAGACGGCAACACAGGATACAAATTAATTAATCTAAAAAAATTTTCCTGCCTCACGATTTTTATAAACGTACTTGAAGCGATACTCTCAATAAACTCGGTACGTGAGAAAGCATTACGTATGGTCGTTTACTTATTTTATAAATTTTGCGCAATGTTTTCTAAGGCCTTGCAAATTCAAATTTAGAAGGGAAACAAACACACTACTAAATCGGCAAGCAAGTAATACAAAACAATTGCCCTACATCCTAAGCTAATTACAGTAATTACAAAGGGAAATAAATGATACATTTACCTATATATGCGAATACGTGCACTGCCTGCCACAATTATTCTGCCGCACTCGACACTGCTTTCTCTTTTTCGCTACCAGTGAAAAAAATGGCGCTCAATCACTTATGAACCCTAGTCCTTGTGCAATTGGATTGGTAAAACTCGCGGTAAAATTTCTAGTGGGGTATCAGATGCATCTTTCACCCATAATGAAATGCATAAAGTCGGAAACGATAAAATCACAACCGGAAATGACTTCTACAGTTGGTCGTGTACTGAAGCTTCCAAATTTTGTATTCGCAAAAAGGAGGGCTGCTCTTTTTAAAAGAAATATAATTCTTCGCCAAGGTAAGTTAATTAAAAGTACAGTTTATGTATTGCAGTTAACTTTAATAACATGCTCTCAACAGGATATCGTGAACCTAAAATTAGAACGATTTCATGGATAAAAGTACCTTTAAATCGGTTACCTGAACGTGTGGCGGTGTCGAAATGATGTAACAAACCACATCTGCAACATCTTTCGCCTTTAACATCGGTCTGTTTTCCAGGGCTTCTAAAGGCGCCGGATTTTCTCCTTGTGTAAATATCTCAGATTCGACAAGCCCAGGGCTAACGCTCTACAGTAAGAATAGCGAAATTTCAGTCAAAACTATTCGAAAACTTTACCGAAATTTTTATCCGGCTTCCACATGCGATCAGTTCCTGCCTTAAAGCCTCTGTCAGCGCAGTTACGCCGTGCTTGCTGGCTGTGTATACGTGGGCCGCTGTCGGTACTGGAACCATGTGGCCGGCGAGGCTATTAACATGCACTATGTGACCATCGACGTTGTTAGCCTTCATACATCTCACTGCTTCCCTGGTCATCATGCATAGTCCCACAACGTTGAGATCGAGCATAGCCTTCCAATCGGTCGTGTTTCCGTCACACAGACTTGTATTCCTCAATACTCCCGCATTATTCACCAGAACATGGACGGGACCCAAATTCTCCCCAATCCATTTATAAGCGTTTAGTACATCCTCCTCCTTGGCAACGTCGGCTGTTAAATGGTAGTACCTTCCCTTTCTTCCTTCTAGAGCCCGGGCCAATTCCTCTCCTCTATCTTTACGCCTGGCAAGCCCTACAACCTGAAAAGCTTAATGAGCTTATTGTATACCATAAGAAGGCACCTACTATCAGCCCAGCATCCACCAATTGTTCAGCAATTACGGATCCGATTCCCGAAGTGGTACCGGTCACGATGGCCACCTTACCTTCCCACCTGTTCATGTTGCTAAGCCGATATGTAATGAATACTCATGTGCATGTTGGAGGCGATTACATATTATCAGGTGATAGATATGCCTCAAGGACCTCTTTGACACGCCTACACGTTGTACTTTCCTAGTTGTCAATCAACTAAAACCTGATTAACCTTTGACTACTGGTAGCTTTTATTTGCGGCTACACAGGGCGTGGGAAATTACAATCGGCTGTGGAAAATAGGTGAAACCTGAATAATGTAATTTAAATAGGGCGCCACTTGCTTTTTGTAAAACTAAGAAAACAATACTCTATGATTAATATACCTAAGTTACTATATTGAGTATCAAATGCTTGAGTCATTAAAGATTAAAAGGGTTGTCAAATTATGATTGCAGGTGGAAATACTGGAGCATGTAGAGCGAGACATTTTCTTATTTTTTGGAACACCCCTCCAGATTATATCCTATACTTCTATTATCCACAGGCTAATCCTACGAAACGAGTCAACCGAGTACTCAAGAACTTGCTCAGATATTACGTACAGGATAACCAACGCAATATCTAGCTAATGTCACGTGCTATTCGGAGGGATGACGCCTTATTTCATTAATCAGCTCAAACTAAAACTTCAAAAAGATTACACCACTTACGAAGAAGGTCTGATGAATATAAAGCGAACGATCCGGTGTGTAAGAGGAATTATTTTTTATCTGATGCAGCTAGGTACTTCGCAGCCAAACTTGCACCCAAATTTATCGGACCTTTTATTATAAATGAGGAATTTTCTAGGTGGGTTTATGAACTTAAGGATCGCAATGGTACCGTTTTAAATGGTACTTAGCATGCAAAATATTTGAAACCATATTCTGATTTGAGTTCAGACTTTCTTGTTTTTAGGGTGGTTGGTTGGAATTAATAGGACAGGTCTACATTGGGAACTTAAATCCACTTCTTTATTTTCAGTTCGGACGTACGTTTAGCTCCTCCATCTGAGCTCTTCACTTTCCTTCTTTTTTTACTTTCTTTACTATGGAGTAGTTTTCAAAACTCTATCGCCTATCAGCTTCGGGGTGTGTTTTAGGGATTTTATTCATTAATAAATTGTTATTATTATTACTTTCTGCTGTACAAACTATCTTCTACGTACTAAGGGCGGTATATTGGGTTTTAGGGTGCGCTGCAATTTAAAAAATTTCAATTGTTTTTCGTTACTCATTTGTTTTCTGAAATAAAAACAACTGAATGTTGGCTTATTATGGGAAATAAAATGTTAAACAACTTTTATATAAAAAAATTTGAATATATTCGATATTTACAGAGATATTAACTATATTCCATGGATAATGGGCACCCTGTATATTCCTGGACTGGGCTGGTTTGAATTCTGATGCAATTTTTCATTAGGTTGTTTTTTAATCACATATGCCTTGGTAACATTGTGTGGCAATTTACAAAAAAAATGCAACATTATTAATTTTATCATAATTTTATTATCTGTCAGTCACTGGTAAAAGGTCAAAGATTATATTATACGAAGTCTACGACCAGCTCAAACTGAATCTTCAAAAAGCTTACAAAGAAAGTCTGATGAAAATAACGCGAATACGATCACATATATAAGAAGAATTATGTTTTATCTGATGCAGCCAGGTACTTCGCAGCCAAACTTGCTCCCAAATTCATCAGACCTTTTATTATCATTAGAAAATTTTCTAGGTTCCCAATGGTACCGTTTTGAAGGCTACTTGGCGTGAAAAAGATTGAAAACCATATTCTGTTTTGGCACCTAAGGACGATAATCGTTTATGGTATTTTTTTAGTTAGTATTTTTTTAAGGAGGTTGACTGAAACTGATAGGGTATTAGGAACTTAAATCTACTTCTTTATTTTCATTTCGGGCGTACGTTTCGCTCTCCGCCATCCGAGCTCTTCGCCCTCTTTCTTTTCTTACTTTCTTTACTATGGGGTGGGTTTCAGAAGCAGTCTTTTGTCTATCAGCTTCGGGGTGGGCTTTTTCTTTTCATGGGGATTTTCATCTTCCGCAGAACAGCCATGGTATGTACGAGTAGGGTTGAGCTATAGGTACTTGGTTTTGTATTTACAGTGAAGCAATTGAAAAAATCAGGATGAATGTTGATGATTGTTATGTGCCTGGAGATTTGAGGGGGTTGGTGGTTAATTGGTGTTTCGTACAGGGGCCGGGGGGTGGGGGTGTATGTTCTAATCAATTTTTTTTAGTGGGGGACGAGTAGTTACGTGCACATTGCCTTTTTGCGCATTTTGTTTACTATAACCGAAATTAATTTTTCAATATTTTCATATTCTTCAAAAATCGGGTGCTTCTTTCAAAATGAAATACGAAGAGACAGTTTAATTTCATTAAAACGTTGGTCGTCGGAATTTCAGTACGTTAGAGCATGGGTTCGATCCTATTCATTTTGTGTAAATTTTTTCAACTCTTCCTGTTCCAAACTCTTGCCTCATTTTTAGCGCATTTTCCAACTCATGCAGGAAGGCGCTATGGCCAGTTTCTCCGTCCGTTCGTCCGAGGCCGTAACTATTTCTACAGTTTTCAAGATGTTTAGTTCGTTCTAAGTATTTACATTCGGTAGCTATAATAGGTCTGGCATCTCAACCAAACAAATCTTAACGATTAATGTGCGCATGCTCAGTCTGCGCAATGTTAATTTTCTAATTCATGGAGATATTTCTTCGAAACATATGCTTGTAGTAAAAACAAACATATTGTATATTGCAAAAATCAGATGTGCGCATGCGCAAACTACGCAATACCTATTAACTTGCTTATTTATGGAGATATTTCTTTGATATTGTAACCTTCTAGTCTAAACAAGTATATCGCATATTGTAAAAATGTGACGTGCGTACTGCGCAATGTCGACTATCTTATTTATACAGATATGTTTTTGAAATGTTAACCAAAGATTCGTGTAGTAAAGACTAACATATCGCATATTTTAAACATCAGACTGGGCAATGGTGAATTTCTTGTGTATAAGAATATTTATTCCATATCTTATTTTCTTTATACACATGACCTTTCGGGAAGTTCTGATTAATTCATGGAAAATGCGACAAAGTTACTCGGCCTTTGTTTAATTTTTGATATTGAGTGTAAATTCTACTTTCTAAAAGAGAAATCTGTGTCACCAATAAGTTTAAACTTAGACCGCACTATGAATCCCATTTAATATTCCACATTATGCATTGCAAAACCGACGTAGGTAGCATCCAGTCAGTGGCGTAACTACAATGCCTCAAAGGGACCCGACTTAAAAGTGTCCCGGCAAAAATGTACAAAAAATTTAATTGGTATATAAAGAATTCTTTAAAAAATTGAATTATTTACATATTTTGCGTTACTAAAGGAAGAGATAAAACGTTCGGGAAAAGGCGTAATGCAAACTCTGACTAATGTTTTATTTACGAAGGGGAAGGCATATGCTTTCTTTTACAGTGTACCTTACTATGTACCTAGGTATATACGTACTGCACAGTGCACAATTTTTTTCCGATTATTTAGTATTTTAAAAAGTTATTTTTATTGTATTCACTTATTACTGACGTTAATACAGACCAAATTTGGACATTTACAGATTGTCTATTTTGTGTATACATACTCCATTAGTGAATAATGAACACGCATTTCGTTCGATTTAACCACAGTTAACTGTTCATCTGACTTTAATCTAATACACTCAAAAGTAACCAGTTCAAATAAATTTAAAAGCAACTCCGCTCCTTTTTCATTTGCGAAAAATAATATTCCGAAGTCTCTTATATAAAGTACATGAAATACTTTGTTAATTAACGGGACCTTCTCCAGTCTAGAAGGCATCTGAAGGTCCTGGATACGGTAATTTTAAGGTACGATTTCGATGGAGCCGTCGGCGGCCGCCGGTGACGGTCGCCAAGAAAACCAGAAAAAGAAGAAACCGTACCTTAAGACTGAAGTTGTATTTCGAGATGAATGCCACTAAATAATTTTAACACCCCAGCACCTCTACACGGACGAAACAGTTAAAGACATTCAAAAAAGGCAGGTTCATGCACAAAGAATTGAAGTTGCTGTAATGAAACGAAAAGATTGAAGGAACATTAACAACCTGCCAATCTTAAACAAATCAAAATGAAGACAACATTTAAAGTGAAAAAGCAAATAACAAACAAATTCAAGAGAGAATTGTTACCCTGTGGTAAAATGACCAGTTTTTTTACAAGGTCAGAAGTTCTATATGGGGTTCTATCGAGGGTTCTATCATTGTTAAAAAAATTCGAGTCTTCTGGGGTGTATTTCTAGTGAACCGGTCTCTTAAAATAAAGTTACGCCACTGGATCCATTCACAGCTATGCGAACGGAATCGGACATACATAAAACAATAGTAAAACAACAAATACCAATGTTATGACCTCGATGTAGCAAATGATTCTAGTCACGGTTACTCTGCCAATGCTTCATGATGGAAAAGTGGGAAGGAAAAATAGCGATTGTAACTGGAACGTCGTCGGGTATCGGGAGAGCAATTGCAGTTCGGCTTGTAGAGGCTGGTGTTAAAGTAAGTAGATGCGCTAAGGTTTTTCTAGTTATGGTGGTTTTGGTTTACAAGGTCGTTGGGCTTGCAAGACGCGAAGAACGAGGGCGGGAACTTGCCGCGTATTTGAACGGGAAAAAGGGCGAATTTCACCATATCACTGCGGACGTCACCAAAGAGGAAGATGTGCTGAATGCCTACCGCTGGATTGAAGCAAATTTAGGGCCGGTCCATATTTTGGTTAACAATGCGGGCAATGTAAAGGAGGGAGGGTTGATCGACACAGACTCGAGCGTACTTCGCGAGGTGTTCGAGCTTAACACTCTCAGTGTATGCATGATGACCAAGGATGCCGTAAAAATGATGAGAGCGCATGGCATTGACGATGGCCATATAGTCCATATAAATAGCGTGGGGGGCCACGTAATTTTGAACAATGTAAACGTTTACTCCGCAAGCAAACATGCCGTAACGGTATTGACCGAAACGCTGCGACGGGAACTGAACGCCATGGGGAGCCAAATCAAAATCTCCGTAAGTTTAATCTAGAATTAACCGCCCGAAGCTCAATAAAACGTTTCAGAGCGTCAGCCCTGGAGTGGTCGATACAGAGGTCTATGACAACACCGTCGAACTGAAGGGTATGGTCGAGAAAATGACGACGTTAAAAGCTGAAGACGTCGTCGACACGGTAATTTTTATTCTGTCTCGACCTCCCCACGTGCAGGTACCTACGTATGGAAATTGTTTCTAAGTTGATTGCATCTGAAAACTTTTAGATTCACGACATTTTCGTCCGACCAGTAAACCAGCCCTTCTAACCGCCACCCGCATACAAATTATTAATAATTACTGTCTGTAACTGTTGTTACAATCACATAATTAAACAAAAGTAACTCACCAGAATGTCCAGTATGATCCACACCAATAACAACAAGTTAAAAAGTAATCGTAAACGATTTACATAAAGCGCATTTCCACTTGCATTCATTTCCCATTTATAAGATGCAACTTCTGATAAAATCGTAAAAATCCGGCCACAAATATGAAAATAGCGTTGCACATGGACAATCCATTTTTGACGTGTTACTT